AGCGTGTCTGGGTGTGTGGTGGGAAGCGTGTCTGAGTGTGGTGTGCAGCGTGTCTGGGTGTGTGATGTGTAGCGTGTCTCTGTGTGGTGTGCAGTGTGTCTGGGTGTGTGCTGTGTGCTGTGTAGTGTGTGTTATCAGGAGGCCCCCATCCCCTTGCGGATTTCTTACTGTCCTGTTGTTTCTCCTTGTATCTGTGGACCTGACACATCTGTCTCCATAACGGAGTGACTTTTGTTGACACAGACAGAGGATGCCCCGGAGGAGGCGGCAGAGGAGGAGGCCGGGGGCGAGGAGGCCGAAGCGGGAGAAGAGGAGCCAGGAGAAGAGGAGCCAGGGGAGGAGGGTGAGGACTCCTAGGCTGGCCTCATAGCCCTCAGGTAGCTGGGGTCCCTGTGCTGTCCCTGTCACACCCTGGGCGCTGGGGGCAGCTGGGCCCTAGCTCAAAGCCTCTCCCTGGCAGGCTGCACTGCCTGCGTGGGCTTCCGTCCCGCTGGTGGCCTCTGTGGCACCCATGCCTTGGGCGGAGGGTGTGGAGGGTCCCTGCGACTTGGCCACTGTGGGCGGAGGAGCTGGTCGCGGTCCTCTGAGGGAAGGCACAGGCACTGGAGGTTAAGAGCTGAATATATTTACTGAGGGAAAGAAAGCTTCTGTCCAAGAGAGGGACAGAAAGGGGGCCCACGTGAGTTACCCAAGACTCTGTCTTTTCTAGAGACTTTTATAGAACAGAACCATCAGGTGAGGTGGGTCCAAGGTAGGGGAAAAATGGACAAAACTATTGTTCAGGTAAAACTGATTAAATTGGGATCAAATGGGGGAAATGAGTCATGTAGCAAGCGGCTATGAATACAGAACAGGGGCTTTTCCTGTAGGGGGTTGGACTAGTGACTCTTCCTGGCTTTTTCAAGGTGGTTGCTACCTATTTAGAATATCAATCCCTGATGTCCATCCCCAGGGAGGTATGTGGGTGCATTTGTTTAGACTTTTGTCTTGAGGTCTGGCCCACAACAACTATGTCTCCACTCACAAGGTATCTTGTCTTCCATATTGGCTCCTTCAAGGGCCTGACCCTGTCTGACTGCCTATAATATTTCTATCTAACTCAGCTGCCTATGACAGTATGTGTTGGTACAGAGAAAGGTTAGAAGTGCGCCTTGGTTTTCCATGAGAAAAACTTGCTTTCCTTTCTTTGTTCTGAGGCAGGAAGGGCAGGTTTATCAGGTAAAAGGCAACACTGTTCTTTACCGAGGCTGCATAAGGAACACTGTGGTGAGCATTTTCTCTCTTTGTCTTCTCCCTGATGTTTTCCCTTTCTTTTAGAATCGTGAAGGAACCTTGCAAGCCATGAAGCAATATTTCAAGTTATGAAGCAACATTTCAAATCGTGAAACAACATTTCACATGTTTCCCTATAAATTCAGTGAAATACTTTGCTTCGAAGTGCACGCACTCCTCTTAGTGCATTGGGTGTTCGACGAGGACTTGCACTGTCCGAGGTGGCTGGGTGTGTACACAGAGAGCTACTCCATCGTATTGACGTGAGGTTAAATATGAAGACAGTATCGCATAGCTTCATGTGCCTGGCACTCTTGGCCTTTGCTTATTTTAATTTTCTTTTTTTTTTGCTCTGCATGCATAGACCTTATTAGTGCCGTAAATCAAATGAGCACAAGGAATAGAACTTCTCTTTGTGGCAAAAGCATTTCGATATGGCAGATTTCCTCCTACGTGCCTTATGCTACTTGCCTTGGGCTTAGCTTTGGAAATGAAGTGCTTCCCAGAGAACAATCATATAAATAAAAATCAATAACAAATATCTCGCCCTACTGTCTCTTTGTTCATAGTCTCTGCCTTTATACGTCTCAGCTCCGCCTGTCTGAGTCCCCTCTGCCTCGGGGTGAATGATCTTGTTGCACTGGTTGGGGTCACACTCCCCAGTTGTGCCGATGGTCTTGTGTTGTACAAACTACTGTGCACGCATCATCTTGAGCCTTACCTTACCGTAGCTCTGTTACCCACAGGGGAAGGATGATAGCAGGGATGAGGGCAATGGCAGCCTGGGGCCCCTTTGCACATTTCAGAGTGGAGGAGCAGCTGCTTCTGTTCTTCCAGGCAAAGCAGAGGCGAAGGGCCTGACTGCATTTTTCCGTGTGGGCTGGGGGGCTGTGGCTTGGCTGGTGGCTGTCACGCTCCGCCCCTTTGCTCCCCTTGCCGCCCCAACGGACTGGAACATCTTGCTTCCATGTCCTCCCTGGCTGTCCAGCAGCCAGTCTCCTCCACTCCACTCCAACATGGACGCAGCTGGAATACCAGCATGGCCCCTCTCCCCGTCCCTCTCCACGTCAGACACTGTTGCTGCCTTTTAGGAGAAGGGAGGAAGCACTGTGATGTGCCTAGGACCAGGGAGGGAGGGGTCTGGGCCCACTGTTAACATCCCCAACACTCACAGCCAGCCTTCCAGAAGATTCCCTGTTCCAGCCCTGCCCCTCTCTGGATCCTGGCCCTGACAGCCAACGCTGTCCTGGAGCGCTGCACCAATCACAGGCCTGCACTTGGACCAATCACGGATCTACAGCTGCTATATAAGCAACCCTCCCGAGCTACTTCTCAGGTTGGTCTAGGAGAGCTCACTCCAGTGTACTGGTAAGGAATGACATGGTGAACCATAAAAATGAAGACCAGTTTTAGTGGTTCTGGAAACCTGCTTGTGATTTACTTCTTGGGTTGTGTGGGCTCCAAAAATCCTATAAATCTGCTTGAGATTCTTATTGTATTTTTGAGTAGTATGGATGGAATAATCAATTCAAAGGAAAGCACAGTAGATGCCAGGGGCTCTGGAGAGCTCTAGGACCAGCATCCGATGAGATCAGCAGCAGAGACCAGAACTACAAGCCAGCAACAGAGGGTGGTGGCCGGCAGAGGCAGAGGCCAGCAGTGGGCTGTGTCCACTGTTGACCTGCACCATTAGCTGGTTTCATCTGGTGACATCAGGACTCCTGGCAGATCTGCACTTTGTGGATTTGCCGTTGCTATCAGAATTGAGCAAAAGATCCCCAGGCTGATTTGTAGCATTTTTGGTGACCCAGATGGGACACCTCCTTCTTGACAGTCCCCAGGAAAAGGGCAGACAGTGGTGATGAACAGCACAGACCTTCCTCATGGATGACAAGCAGCTGCCTGAAACTTTGCTTCAGGGTCAGGCAGACTGGTAAGGTCCCCTTCCTGGCCGGCCTGGCTCTGTGGTGCTTGCCCACCTATGCAGATCTACCCGCCCTTATCTTCTGTCCTATGACCTAACTTCTGTTTCTGACTCTACCTTCATTTTCTCTGTCTCATGAGACGTTTGTATTTATTTCATGGTTAAGGATTCCTGGTATTTTTAATGGCTTCTCCTATTTAACTTTAGATTTCATGAGGAAGCATATATTAGCAATGCACTTTCAAGAAAGCATTGTTATTAATAGTTAACTGCATTAGATTGTGGGATAGCTTCCTTTTTCTAAAATGATTGAGATATTTCAATTAAAGTTCATAGTTAAATTAACAGATTTATAAAATACGTAAAAATTAATTTTTTTTTTGTTTTTTTGGTTTTTCTCCGGTACCGGGAACCGAACTCACGACCTTGCGCTTGCCAGGCAGGGGCTTTGCCACTGAGCTAAATCCCCAGCCCCTAAAAAAAATTAATTTTTGTTAGATAGCCACCATTTCTGGAAGTGATTTCAACAATGAAATGTTGTATAAATATTTTGGAATATATCTAAAAGTTTCATCACCATTCAGTAGGTATCTTCTTTTCAAAAATAAAAACATGTACTAAAGAAATAAAATGGTAATTTGTTGCAAATGAAGTAAAATATTTTTAAAGTATAAATATTAAAGTGAAAAAAATAAACCCTTTCATAGACAGTAGTGGATACTTTTTACTATCTTTTTACAAAAAGGAAAAGTTAAATTACTTTTTAAAAGCTCCATACACTACTACAGGAATAGATATGCTTGGAAAGTCTATAAATTTTATTGGCCTACTGTAAAAAATGATTTAAAAACTCATAAACAGATTCCCTCCTTTAAAAAAACTATCAGACCCAGCTCAGGAAGGCGCAGAGTCCGGTCCCCTCCCCCACTGCAGCTACCAGTAGCGCTGAAGACACAGAGACCACCGAAATGTCAGCCACACAGTAGGGCCCCAGCCAGGATGCGCAGGATGGAACGGTGGGACTAACAATGACCTGAAACTGTCAGAAGCAACAGGAACAATAGGCCCCAACAGGAGGTACTTTAGTTGATCCAACATTGTGCTTGGGAACAAGGACTCATAGAATAGAAGCAGGTGGGTGGGGCTTCCCTTTTTCTCTTTTTAAAATTTTTATTAAAATTTCTTTTTCTTCTTTCTCTTTCTTTTATCTTATCTTTTTTTCTCTTTTCTAAATGGCTAGGGAGAGATCCAGCCACAGAAAACTAATCCCATCCCCCAAACCCAGAGACCAAGTTCATATAATCACTTGCTCACTCCTTTATTCTTTCTCTTCTGCCCTCTTCTCTAGTTTCCCAAAGCTTGCACGATCATCCTTTGTCCTCCAGCCTGGCTTCTACTTTCTTTTTGTTACCTTTGTTTTGTCCATTATCTTTCTTAAATTTCCCCACCACATGGTAAAACTGCTCTGCCAAGGGGAACCACTTTGCATATAAGCTTCCAATTTATGATTGGTTCTGTAATATAATTGTAGATTTTGCTCCTATGGTTAAAGATAAAAAATTAATAGTTACCACAGCTTGTCAGTGTCTAAACTGTGCTAGATGCTATTGTTATTGCTAATTATATTACTTTAGCTAGGATGTCATTTCTGTTTTAACCAGTCATTCTCACTTCTGTAACAATACTGGGAAGTTCTGGGGTAATAACCTCACCACACCCCAGCACCAGAGGACTGGGGACACATCCAAACAGATACCAACATCTCACTCTTAATTAGTTGGAAAGGTGGGATCTTGGGACAGACACAAACCAAGAACCTCTTACACATAGAAGACATCCCCAAAGAAAAAATTTTACCTAGAGAGGCCTTGATACTAGTAATATAGCTACCAACTACAAAAACTTACAAGGATCAACACAGAATGCAAAATAAAAACTTTTGGAATAGAAAATGTTAAGACATAGAAGCAAAATGCCTAAGATCTCCGGCCCACCTAGAATAAGTCCAGGAGACAGTGAGATAGAGGACAATGGAAGACACACACCTGACATTTCTGAAATGATAGCAACTGAAGTAAAGAAACAAATCCAAAGAAACAATATGAAGAAATAATGAATTGAAGAGTTGGTTCTTTGAAAGAGTAAATAAAATTGATAAACCCCTAGCCAATATTATGAAAGAAAAGGAAAAGAAAAAACTCAAATTCATGCAATGGGGAATGAAAATGCTGAAATCACTACAAATTCTGTGGAAAAGCAGAAGATTATCACTACCTACATTGAAAATCTTCACTCTCATAGAATGGAAAACACAGAATAAATGGACAGATTATTGGAAATGTATGAATTACCAAAGCTGAATCAAGAAGATATAAAAATTCTGAATAACCCAATATCAGTTAATAAAATAAAAAATGTAATTAAAAACCTACCAACAAAGAAAAGCCCACGTCCTGATGGATTCACAGCTGAATTCTACAAGAAATTTAGAGAAGATTTAATGCCAACACTCCTTAAACTCTTTAAAGAAATTGAAAGGGAAACAGTACTCCCTAGCTCATTCCTGGAGGCAAATATTACCCTGATACCAAAACCAGAGAAACATCCAACTAAAAAAGAGAACTACAGGCCAATCTCCCTAATGAACATAGATGCAAAAATTCTCAGTAGGATACTGGCAAACAGAATACAGTGACTCATCAAGAAGATTATATACCATGACCAAGTAGGATTCATCCCAGGAATGTAGGGATGGTTAACATATACAAATGAATAAATATAGTACACCATATCAACAGAGCCAAAGACAAAAATAACATGATATTTCAATAGATGCAGAAAAATCTTCTGATAAAGTCCAACATTCATTCATGATTAAAACCCTACAGAAAATCAGAATAGATGATCTTTACCTCAATCTGATAAAAGCCATCTTTGACAAACCAACAGCCAACATTATACTAAATGGACAAAAACTGAAAGCTTTCACTCTAAAATCAGGAACAAAGACAAGGATGTCCACTATCACCACTCCTATTCAATATAGTTCTGGAAACATTAGCCAGAGCAATTAGACAAGAGAAAGAAATAAAAGGAATAAGGACAAGAAAGGAAGAATTTAAATTGTTATTATTCACAGATGGCATGATACTCTAGGTAGAAAACTCCAAAAACTCCACCAAAAGACTTCTAGATTTTTTTTTTTTTTTCCCGGTTTTTCTCCGGTACCGGGAACCGAACTCACGACCTTGCGCTTGCCAGGCAGGCGCTTTTGTGGCTGAGCTAAATCCCCAGCCCCAAGACTTCTAGATTTAATAAACAAATTCAGTTGCACAGCTGGATACAAAGTCAACACTTAAAAATCAATAGCATTCTTGTACATAAACAGCAAACTCTCTGAGAGAGAAATTAGGGAAATCACACCCTTCACAATAGCATCCAAAAAATGAAATACCTAGGAACCACTCTAACAAAGGAAGTAAAAGATCCACACAATGAAAATTACAGTACTCTGAAAAAAGAGATCGAAGAGGATATCAGAAAATGGGAAGATATTCCTTGCTAATGGATAGGAAGAACCAGTGTTGTGAAAATGGCCATACTCCCTAAACTGCTAC